GGGTCTTCAACTGGATTTCATAGGGTTGTGTGTTCTGAAATTTTAGTATTCTCTTTGGATCTACTGTAGTAACTTTGGTAAATCAACCATCATATACTTCAATGTATCCAAAACATGTTTTCTAAATGACACGGAGTTAAAATAAGCTTCTTTCATTTCTGAGTCGTAGTTTCATACTGTTCCCGCTCCGGTGAAGTACCTAACATTACCCTATACTTTCAACTACCCCGTATGTACAGCCTACCTTGTATTTAGACCACCTTCTCTACCTTTCTCTACCTTCAATCACTGTAAACTTCTGTTCAATCACAGTAACTTCGTTCTGTTCAGTATATTTAGTATACAAGTGACCTAGGAGCGCAAAAGCTCCGTTTCATCTATTGTACTTCAAAAAAATTAAAGCCGTTCTTCTTAATATTCACCAAGGAATAAAAGAAATCAATCATTACGACAGTCGTCTCGAGGCGTTCGCGTGATTTACGTGCGGTGGTCTTGGGAGAAGGGGGTGAACAGAGGGGGGTTGAGGGCGGAACGATCGCGCAGATTCCTCGAAGGCGGACGGAAGACAGATCAGAAAAGTTTCGCGAGCCAATCACCAGACGTGGATATCGGGTCTGCCGATAAAAATGACAAAGTCTCCGAAGTTTTCTACCCCCATCTGCCCCCCTTTCCATCTAGCCGATTCCTTTTGAATTCGCAGACGTATTTCCGGCAGGGGCGATCGCGATTCTATCGATTCCCGGGTCAACAGACGAGGGGGGCGAACTATCCACGCCTGGACCCGATACCGCCGATGAATATTCGATGGACGTTTATTTGACTTGGACACCAGATGCATTAAACCCCCTACCCCTTGGGTCGTGACGTGGCGCGAAATTAGTCGTGGTAAGGTGTGTATCTTTCACGAAAATACGTTATCCTCGCATCGGACGGGATTTACATGTATAGAACAGAGTCCAGTGAAATATGAAGTTCTTTGAATTTAGACCTCGAGCAATTTGTGATTCCCTACAGTAAGAAGATCAATAAAGAAAATGTACCAAGAGACTTACCCTCAGGATCGTCTGCCCAATGCTCCTTTCCACTCTGAGATTCGAAACGGTACTTTCAGCTCAGGAACCCTGTGAATCGCGAAAAGCGTTTGAACAAAAAGGCGCTAGGTGAATCAACCAAAGACGAGTCGTTTTCTAACCGCTCTCATTTATTTGGTAACTCATAGATATACACGTTAACGTCTCTTAAACCTAGAGAAAATGGAAACGTAAGAGGACTGCGTGTCCCGTTTGGATCCACGGGTCAAAAAACGGGCGCGTTCGCCGAGCCGCGAACGTCCTAAATCATTAGAAAAATACACAGTTTACGCGCAAATCCTTTTCAACTGAATCGTCGATGTTCCGAACTTATCTCGCGCTTAATGACGTTGCTCTTCGTTCCCCTAGGCAAGTGTGTATATGTCCTGTGTGTTTTTATTTGTATGTGTCTCTGTGTTTGTTCGTGTGTGTCCTCTGATACGCGTGAATGCTCGCCATCGCACGCGTTCCTCTCGCGGCTGTCATCCTCCTCTGTCGATTAAATCGCGCGGATGCGTTAAATTAATTCCGCCGGACGTGTTCGCTCATTTACAGGTTTTTCTACTTTGCCGTAAAAACGCGCCAGGCCGAAAGCTTTGCCTCTCGGATCCAAGCGTGTGTGTCAGCTCACGGTTCGCCTCGGATGGTCGCCACCCCCAACCCCCTTGCCCCCTTTTCTGTTGGTTTAATTTTCGATTAACGCGTCAACCAACCCCTTGCCAATTGCCCCCTTCCTCCTGATCCTAGCTTCGTTCATTATTTCTCTTTGGCCCGTTTAGAATTTGCGCAAAAGCCAGCGAGAGCCCACGCGATTTTCTTTGCTCTGTGATTTCCACCTGCTCGTTTCCGACCCGAAATTGTAATTCGTGACAGAGGCCTGACAGTCGAGAACGCTTCGCGGTTACCCCGCCTCGACACCATATACATTCGCGAGGGAATTTGGACCTGGTATTTAACCGATTATCACGTTTACCCCGACACAATTAACCTAGTGACCCTCTCTGTTCAATGAAATAATCAACGTGTACCGTATCTACGTTGGGGTCCGAAAAGTATTTGAGCCTACGTACCCAGACGCTCGATCGATTCCCACAGGTTCACTTCGATCGTTAATTCAGCAACCCTCGATATCTAATTAAATATTTCACGTGATATCCCTCTACCAGCGGTCTCCTAAAACGAGGCGTTCTCTCTCGAAGATATCTCATTAGGTTTTCCACCTCGATTCTCGATCGAGGGGTGGTCCAGGACCGAGCACACAATAATTGTCATTATAATATACCCCCGGTACCAATCGATACCGAGAACCCCGAAAAATCCTTGCGCCAGTCGAATAGACAGCCTCGTTCAGCCCTCGACGACCCTCTCGGACCAGGCTCGTGGAAGAACGAAGGAGGGCAAGGAGGAGACCTGGGTCTAGCCCATCGAGCCACCCAACGAACCGAATCCGTTGTTCCGAGTATTCCTCCCATATCGGAGAAAACGATCTATGTACAAGAAATAACGAGGGGGCGATCCAGGCTCTCCTTGGCTCTTGTTGTTCCAGTCTGCCCACACGCATCCACGCCGCGAAAGGAATCCACGAATTTGGACATATCTCCAAGAACATGGTACACACACGGTGGCTTCGTTGATATGTTCTACTTAATGTCGAAAATCTTATTTATTGTACGGCCGCTCTGGTAACACTCAACAAATTCTTTTTTTCACGCCGGGGATATAACGATCGCATCTGCCCCCGCGGCGATCGAGCCCCAAGGACAAGCCAGCAGTCCGTGGTCCCCAGGGTTCGTTCGATTTTATACGGACGACGAAAGAAAATCCCCACTCTTGCACGGACGATCGTCGCATTTTTTTGATAATTTCTTCATGGCTACGGGGCTGCACCGAGCAGCAGCAGCCTCGTAATATGCGAACAAATCTTTCGGCCCCGTGACCGACCGACCACCCTTTCTGTCATCGAATAAGGTGACTCACGGCGAGATTGGATAACATCGATTAACATCGACTATGGGCAAAATTTTTGTGGGAACACGAAAGTTCATCCGAGGCGTTTCATTCGGTTTGATCATCCTTGGATAATCCTCTGTTTCATCCAAGAGGTAATATTGTCTCGTTTCGTGTACAATAACTTGAGATTCTTCGTGTCCGTTGAACGATTTTGCCCATACCTCGATTGGGGAATCGCTAGTCGAGCGTGCGTTTAGAGGTGTTTTATTTACAAGTTCGAAGGGGGGAATGGCTGAGTTGATTCGAGAGGGATGGGGTGTCGTTTTCTTTAGCGAGGAACCTTGGGCGAAGATTGGTTGAAATCTCGAGAGAGACGCATTTAGACAAGAGGATGAAGGATCTCCTGTCGCTGGTGATCAATGAGTGAGTAGCTTTAATGGAAGAGTAAGCGTAGGGCGGTTCAATGATAGAAAAGAAGGGTTCAAGTCGGACGTTCGTAGTCTCGTTCCACGTCTGACGTGCACGCACAATGTTGTATAGGAACTTTATCGCACAAACCCCGATCTTCCAGTAGAAGGAACAAGACGAAGGGATTTTTGGGACTCCTCCGCGAGGAACATCCAGGTTCCAAGGTATGGAAGCGACCAATGGAAGCTTATACTTTAAAGATTCTAGCCAATTTCCGCCGCGAGTCACCCAGCGAGACTAAAAGGTTGTCAATAGGGCTACAGAGACCAGCTACCAGTATACACATCGACGTTTCTTGGCATCTTACACTTAAATCGCGTTAAGAATACGAATCGTATAAAACAACTAATAACGTCCGCCCGTTGCCAAGAGAAGTCGCGGAGCCTCTGTTCTTAGAGTTTTCCCTCTTGAAACCTCTCCTCGGCCGATCCAGACGAAGCTCCGCGATCATTATCTCGTCCGATCTACTTCGCTCGGCTTCCACGTCCCCAGGCCTTAACTTCCTCGCCCCATTCAAGCGATTCCGTCGTTTCCTACGTTGATCGTTCCGAAACTTCGCCCGTGGAAAAGTCTGAAAAGCCTGGTGGCGACGACGTAATCACCTCGTCTCGTCGGGGGATTTCGATGGGCGATCGGATCGGAAATAATTCACGACGTTCTGATCCAGCGAGGAAAGCCACATGCCTCGTAAACATCGCCCACGAAACACGTTATCCGGCCTCTGTCAACCAGAAACACTTTCCGTAGATCTTCTTCGAGTCCCCTATCCGACGACGATCTCCCAATCGTGATCGGTGAACCGGAACACGACTTCAACGAATTCTCTCCCTGGTCGGAACTTGTTTTTCTAGCTCGATTAGAAAAGACGGTGCCAGATGGACAACGGGGAAGAAAGGCTGGGGGTCGTTAGGTGAGCCGAGCAACGGGAACGAGCTAACGGGCAGTCGCGTGGTTGGACAGTAATTGATTAGCTTCATCTAGTCTCTCCCCATCACCAGGACACCGAACTGTTCGTCTCGGATCAGAACAGGCTCTCGTTCGTCGATGCCCCCTCCCCTAATGTCAGTTCTCCTTCTCCCTCTGTCTCGTTTTTGGTTTACTCTTACTTTAGCGTTACGTAGATAGTTTTAATTGGTTACTTAGGCGCGTTGATTAGTTACGACTCCCTTCGGACCACACACGGTCACCAAACTGCCGGATGACAAGCCTACTGGAAAGGGGTACTTTCCTTTCGATAATCGCTCGCGTGTGTGTTTGTTTTGGATGGCTTCGAGCCGACGATATCCGGCCGATCGTCGGTGTTGATCGTCGCCTAAGGTATACTTTCTTTCGTTCGTTTCACGTGTCTCTCTCGTTTTTCGCACGTTTAACACTCTAGTCTGTACCGTCGATCCGCTCGCACAACCGTCCCAACCGTCCCCACCCTCCTTGTGACTACTTCACCAGTTTTAGGGGGGTGGCGCTGGCTGGAAACGCCGCGAGGCCCGTCGAGTCCCTCTCTCGTCCTGACCGCTGCTGCTGCTGTTCGCCCTCTTCTCCCGTTTCTCTCTCTCTCTCTCCACCACATTTCGGTCGGGGTTCAGTGGAGGAACACGCTGGTGACGGACCTGGTGGTGTGGGGCGGTAGGTCGGGGGCCTCTGTCGGGGCCCCCTCGTACCCCTATGCGCTCAGCCCCAGCCGATGGATCTTCGCCGAGAGGAAGTTGTGCAGGACGAACACGATCGGCTTCGGACAGCTCTCGAGGTCCAGCTCCTGGAATTTGAAGGGCGGGTACTCGTGAGTTCTGAACAGGAAGGAATTGATTAGGAAGTTTGGTTTAGGTTGTCTCCTCGTTCTTTTATCACTAGGGTGATTCATAATTATTGATACACTGTTCCAGAATTCCCAAATTGATAAACTGAGAGCTCACGGTATAATTAGTTACCACTATATCATCAGCAATAATTCATGAATATTACTTGTTCTTTCTGCGTTGTAAATGCTTCCAAGATGGACAAACAAAATAGACCGATATGTGACATTCACGAATCAATATTTTTTAATCACCCCAGTGTACCTCATACTGCTACTTTGTTTACTTTACTAGGAGACCTGGTCGTAACTGGGCACCTACGAAAAACGAGGACCTATTATTGTCTTGGAACACATGGATGACTCTAAGCGACCTTCCGCGCTGGGGGCTGAAGGGAAGGGAATTTCTAGAAATGGAAACATAACAAATACCCCCACCACAAAGACCAACGTCTGGAAGGGTACCTAGTAGGACGGTACAGGGGAATGATGTACGTGTGGCATACAGTGTGATAGGGGCACGTGAGCAGTAGAGGTGTTGGTTAGGTACGAATGGATAATTGTTTCTTTGAAACACGGCGATACCTACGCGAGAAACTTAAACCCACGGTCGTCAGTAGGTTAAATTGGTTTTAAATTCTTCCCATTTGCAGTCAGTTCGTTAACAAACGCCGATCGCGATATACGTGTGCTTGCTAGAGTTATAATTTTTGTGTGTTTTCAAGTGCTATCTGATTTTTGTTCGCTTTAATAGTATGCAACTACTGACAGTGTTGGGTGAGTACTTTTTCCTATCAATTATGCCATTTGTCGTGTATTACAGTGTAAATAAAGTGCAACAAAGTAGTTTGAGGCCTGGAGATTTGAATGAATTCACTTAGCAAAGTGATTCTTTTAATAAACCACAGTTTCAAGTTTTTTTCTTATTTTATTAATGTCAGAGTTACGAAATTTTCTTCTTAGTGCCCCGATTGTGCCACAGTCTCCCCTTTTCTTGGTATACCAAGCCATTACGTGGCGCTGGATTATTACTTTTCGTTTACGTTACCAATTTGTACTGTTTCTCGTCCTAACTTCTGGTGTTTGTTCGCGATCAGTTTCGCGTTGTTACAAAGTGATCTTTCGCGTCAGTTTTGGTCGTTTGCGTTGCAAATGTTAGCAGAGAAGCAAACTAAAGGAAGATATACAGAGAGGCACGAAACAGAAACCGACAGGCTATTAGACTATTAAAATACATTTTCAACAATGTGAAAGCAATTCAATAGCTACCAAGTTAATTAAAAGATCGAAGGTGTTCCAAAATAGGTTAAACAGTTTTGAATTGCCAGAAAATTATATTCGGACTGTTTACTTTTCAAGCTAATACACCCCGACTATCTAAGTTTATACATCAAGCTTATCTTCCGACTAGAAATGCATTCCCTGTCCCTGTTCCGTGCGCCTTTCTTTCCCGTTTATTGTTTTCCTGCCGCGATATCGAACCTCGTTCCACCGACCAAGTCATCAGCGTGCTTTAATAAAAATTCCAAGGAGGACCGTCTCTCCAAGGATTTCCCATCCGTAGCTTCGTTTCAGTCTGCTCGAGAGCGGAATAATTTTTCCCATCGCAACCGACGTCCCTCCTGGAAAAATTCTCCTTCGATGCTTCCCTACCCCTCACTGCCCATTTTCCGCTATGAATGGCCATTGAACGGGAACCGGACGACAGTGTTCGGCGAAGATGTAAAATACGTATTCGTGGTTCTTTTGACAGTGACTGGCACAATGGGATTACCCTCGTGCACAGGCTCCGTCTTTTTCCACGATAATAATCTGCCGATGCATCGAGTCAATTAAAACTCTCTCGATGCTTTTCTTGTCAAGAGAAGGGGGAAAACGATTTCTTTCTGTCGATCGTGATTTATTTTAAAACGGGAATTATCGAACACGTCACTGTCAGAGACAATTTTCGTGATTAACAGTTCACAGTGGCGTATATTTATAGGTATTGAGATAAAACTGTGGAATATTACACTGTTCATCGCGAATTTTGTTACAAAATTTAATAACTGTATACATTGATATATTCAGGATACTCTCTTCTATCTTCTAAAACTAAATTTAATATTCTAGCGTTGTTACTTTTTACATAATACGTTATTCTTTCCCAATTTCGTGGATTTTTACAAAAACTGTGGGTGATATTCTATTTCCGAATTCATGTACAGCACGGGAAACTCTACAAGGATTGCCCAGTGAATATTGCACGTCGGAAAAAAAAGTTTCAATCTGTTGGACAGTGTTGTTAGAGGATCGATCACTTACAATCTCGCCGTCGTCCCCGCCAAAGTCGAGCCACAATAGACGCGCCCCATCGTCGGCGGACATTTTCAGTTTGTCGAAGGATCTTCTCCATAAAGGGGTCGGCGGTGAACCTGGACTGACCCCGTTCCCACCCACGCCTCTGGTCCCGGCTGCGTACAACGCGAAACCGTCCTCGTGGTTCACGACAAGCTGGCAGGCCTTTCCTTGCCACGTGCAACCTGGAAATCGGGGGGCGTAAGGTATACACCAAGTCTTTTTTTATGAAACACGACGTTCACTCCGATAAGTTAACAAATCCCTACGATTCCGTAATACCAAGTGGAATCGAGAATGAAAATTTTCTGACTACGGGACAAAGTTACTCTTGTCTAAGTCAAACTTCAACTCATGGTACGTTTCTAAATCAGTGAAAAATTATAAAAAAAACTTTTTCTCGGTATCAAAACAACGAAAGGAATTCGAAGTCTATTGTAGTACACGGTGTTTCGAGTGTTCTACGTCAGAGCCTCGAAATTTATAGGGTCGCCTACACACCGTCGTTTTCGATAGTATGACCAACGATCGACGGAGAGTCCTCCCTGAACGAGAACCGTGGGCGCAATTTCAGTCCGGTTTTCGATGGGCCGCTATATTTCTTCCCGGTGGTTTTTCGCGTCTTCCGGCGCAGAAGGGGACCCAGCGATGATCCACGGCGGCCATGTCGATGATCGATACGGTCGACGAGTCGAGACGGGCGAAGGAACTGGTTCTCGTTCGCGGGCATTAATCTCGATTTATTATTGCCGGGATGCTCGTCCACGTTGAAAAGAAATTAAAATTCATCGAGGCGAGTCGGCCACGTTGACGCGACGCGGAGGGAAACAACGAGGAGCTCTCTCCCCGAATATACCTGTGTTCCGGTTTCCCCTTTCCTCTGAGCGAAGATCTATGCGAGCCTCGGCCAGAGAGAGCCCGAGAGGTTTTTTTTCTCTCTCTTCTCCGGCCCCTTTATTTCACGTTCGAGCGCGTACACGGGACACGCTCGACCCCGTGGAACGAACGATTACGCTCGAAAACAAAATAGGAAAATATTTGTTTGCCTCCCGCGGCACCCTCGCGCGCTACGAGGGATGGTGGAGGGAGGGGGACAGTTTGATCGATGTCTGGAATTTCGGAGCGCAATTAATTTGACGCTTTATTTGGCACACTTCTCTGTCGACCAACGGTATAATAAAAGTAATGGAAATCTGCGCCGCGATCTACTACCACCTACCCCAGTAACGGAAGCTCGAGAGTGGGGGATAGCTGTTGCCCTTGTCACGGTTACCTTTTCGTTTTTCCATTTCCACCATTATATTTGGACCGCTCGGATTAACGTGGAAATGAAACACGTTTGGCTGGATTTTTTTCTCTACCCGTATGTTTTAATACCGACGGAAGTTATGCACGCTTTTAGATGTTTCGAAAAGGTACCCTTATGTCTTTGAGAAAATTTTTAACCTCTTGACTTGTGAAATTGTGGCAGGCTAGTGGGGACGAGTTCAAAATGGATTTAATAAACCTGAATGTTACTGGGTTTCTTTAAGTCAACGTGAAATACCAGTTTAATGGTGCTAACGTGTAGAAAACACAAATGAATTTCTAGTTTGACGTTGTAACAATGTGTGGAATGTTAACTCGGCGGTATCGTGTTATTCGACCATAAATTTCGATTTACGCAATTGCGACGGGATGGACAGGTGAACGGAGTGTACTCACGAACGGTGTACTCCCGTAACGAGTGAGCGGCGGCGTGACAGCCCTGAACAATCGCCCTGGCCCATGCCGCCAGGTCCCTTCGCGTCTCCGAGCGCAGATGATGCGTGACCACGCCGTCGATCGTGCCCACACGCACCGCGAACGTCGCGGCGTGCTGCGTCGACCCGCTACTGCTGCTACCCGCCTCGTTTTGCCTCGCTGGGGATGAGACTAGTCTGTAAACATTCCGAAGAAAAATTGCGGGTATCAATGGGCAGTTTTATATCGTAATAAAAAAAGAACGATATCTCGGGTGTTACAATACTACTGGATTAAAAGGGAAACAATCGTCAGAGTGCAGAGGTACTGACTTCTAAATTTAACCCTCTGTGCCAGTTTTATTTTCTCAGATCGAATATCCATCGAGTTCACCCGACAATCGTCGATAGCCTCAAAATTCTTCGCGTCCCATATATCTCTGGAATACCTTCCGTTCCGAGATCCGAAACACGCCTACATCGCGCGCCATCATATATTGCTCGGCTCAGTTTTACTGCCGTGGAGCAAATATTCCGAGAGAGAACGAGAGAATCAAGTCCGAAAAATCAATCTCGACCTATCCAATCGCTCGGGAAAGAATCATTAATTACCCCGAAACGATCCTCTCGGCCGAAACATCGCGAACGGGAATCCTTTCCGTGATCCCCGCGGATCATCGACAGGGACCGATGTGTGTTCCCTCTCGGCTCGAGAGCCTCGCACATCCCCCCCTCCCCCCCTCTCGAGGCTCTCCGCCATTATGCCCCCGCGTGGTGGTCCACTGTTTTTTCTTCTTTGGCGGCGTCGTCGGCTGCCGGGCGCATTTTTTCAGTGTCTCCCCGAAAAAATCTATAAATCTCACGCGCTTGCCGTGAGCACCGCGCGCGTACGTCAGGACCATTCGTCAGTGGGCAGATTGCAGCCCGGGCTGGATTTCGCTAGCGGTGGAAAGAGGTAGGGGGTGGGGGGCGTGGTGAGGTTGAAAAAGGCTGGTCCTCTAGCACCCCGTTTTTCCACCCCCAGCCCCCCGTTTCCGGTGTGACGGCCGGCTTCGTCCCAGCGCGCAATAAAGCCGCGAGCGATTTTTACGATCGAGGCCGGATCGCATGACGAGGTAATTTACCTTCCGAAGAGAATTCTCGGCGCGCTGACGCGGTGGATACGTGTCGAGTCGGGCCACTTCAACCCCCTTGATACCGAGAACCCGCGACTTCTCACCTCTCCCCCTCCCCATTCAACTACCTTATGGATGTTTCGCTCGCGGCTTTCGACGTTTCTCCATCGACGACACTGCTGCGGCACTTCTACGAGAGACGC